CTGCTGGATTTTATTTTCACGGAATCATCCCTTCAGCGAAAATAGCGAAAAATAAATTCCAAGCGAAATTTTAGTATTCTACAGTATTTTCTGCCTGATACAAAATGCCTCAAAGATGAAAAAAAAAACAGAAAAATAAATAAAGAAAAAAACTCAACTAAAATCTTATATTAGGGAATATTAACACTAATATCTCTTTCATCTTGACAAATTATGGTGTTGCTTGTTTATCCATCATTCCTGCACGCATGTGTGATTTAATTACCATGTTTTAAAAATTATTGATGTTAATGGTATTATGAGTGAACACAGTGCTGCTTGGATGGTGAGTTACAACCATATGGCTTTCAAACCACCTGTCCTGTTTCGCTACTTGAGTAGCAGGAAGTGAATACAATCAGAGAATCCGGCAGGTCAATTTCATTCATGCATAACTTGTTAATTGTGAAGTGGTAACAAAAAAAAACTAAGTGTTAATGACAGTTTGGAACATAAATTATACTTGCCTTTCCAACATGTATTGCACCTGTTCTATATTAAGTTCGAAAGTTCAACACCTCTTACTGGATTTTTTTTCATTGTCATGTCTACTTTCTAAAGTAACCTCATTTAATATTTTTGGAATGTCTTGATTAGTAAAATGAGAAAAAGGAAACATATTTGATAAAAAAAATAACGAAAAATGGTCATTCCCTTGGATAATGCATCCTGAACCAAAACACAGCTGCCCTATGTGAACATTTAGAAAACACATCTTACTGTAAATGCATTAATTATTCACTGGGTTTTAATTTCGGTATCTTCGATAAGTAAAATCCATTAAATTAAGTGATAATATAACTCATTGTTTCCCTGGCTAATTCTGGAAATTAAAATCCAAAATATTAATCTTCAAAATGGCGAACTTAAACGCCAGTGAAAATAAATCATTTTACAGTATTCTTAAACATTTTATTTAAATTATTCTGGCAAACATTATAATAAAGAATTTTTTAATTGATTTGTTAGCAATTCGAAAATAATTTATTTCACAAACACAAAGAAAAAAGCAGCTGTATGCAAAAGCTGTGCACAAAAAGTAGTGAGAGTTTTGATCAGATTATGTAAACCATGAATGATTTTGTGCCACAATTTCTATTTTTTTCTTCAGCGGCAAAATGCCAGACATGGATACAAAATACATTACTGTGTCGCCAGAATCGTGCTGACAGAGACTGTAATTGTAGACAGGAAATATTAATAACTATAATACAAAATTGTAAATGTATTTAGCTTGTTTTCATAGTGATCACATTTACTGAAACATTCAAGTGTAACCATGGAAACAGTTGATTTGCTCTCGGTTCAAATACATATCAGTTCAGCTGCACACGCTTCTATTGACAATTTTGTTGAAATGTTTGTTGCTCAATTTTCTTTGCAACTATGTGTACACATCGCCTAATAGTTACAATTTGCTCCGTGAATGCTGCAATTATTAATAAAAATAGAAAATAAATCATTGTAGCCATTAGTTGTATGTGATGCAGTGTGTGCCTTTGTTTGATATGTAAAGGTCAGAGTAAAGAGCAATAGGTTGACTACCATTAAAATAAATCGTTAGACATATAATATGTACTTTTAGTTTGTGATCTGAGATTAAATAAAAATGTAAGGCATAAAAACATTCATAACTCGGAAGGATAGTCGTGTATTAGTCGTTTTTGTTTTTATTATGAAATAGGGTAGTGCTTTTTTTTATTGGAGTTTGGTATAAAATGACCGTTATTGTCTTAAATCGATATTTTTTCCATAGCTTTTTTTAAATGTTTTATTTTTCAAACTTGGTCACAAAATTACCAATGGTTTCAAAAGCTTCACGGAGTGACGCTGACACCGTCCCATCTTTTTTGCATAAAAAAAAAAACAAACAAATTATTTTGTCCATGTAATGATCTCGAGACGCATATTGAAATTAAAATAAATAGAAAGGCAATTGCATCGCGATCTTCTATTCGACATGTCCGAGTCTCTCACTATTAGTTTGACGTCTCCTCTGGAGCTTGGTTTGGTTTGACGCACTAGAGAGTACGTCCATCGTTTGACCCAACTTTTTCTAACCACGTAATGATCCCAAGACGCACATAGCAAACCAGTCAGCAACTTAGCTGACAATGTTACTGTTTTGTTATTTAGAACAACATGGCGGTGACAGTTAACCTTGTTAAACTTTAATTTGATAAACATTTGTAAAAAAAATAGTGTATAGTTTTCGGGCCTCATTTTCACATCGTACCTTTTATATCCAACTACTAGTACGCCACTTATCATCCCAAATCGTTGAATCCTAATAAATTGTTTCCAGTTTTGGTAAATACCATAATTATTGCATTTCAGTGTTGAATAGAAGACCTGTTCCATGACGTGTAGTTTTGTTTTTGTTTTGTTGTTTTTTGACAGATATTTGAAGGTTTGTGACTAAGTCGCAAACGAAACGTAATGATAATGAAGATAGTTGATTTAATGACATTCGTGTTGAACAACATCATTTATTTTAAAGATTGCTGTCGACATGCCAAAGTGTGTTTCATCGCACTATTTGGCAAATTATTGTTGTTCTTTTACTATCCGTATAGTAGGCAATTCCATCATATGGTTTCATTTAAATAGGAACCCAAAATGGTTCGACAAAAGTCTGGGTTCAAAATTGCGAATTTGAAAAAATCCTGAAAATGTACACGACGTTGCGGAAAATATATTAAATTGGATATACACACGTGTTATAAAAACAGTTTCGTGGACGAAGTGAATTAAAAAGGTCCGTCCCGTATTTCTTTTCAAAATATAAATAATCCTACTTTTTTTCTAATTTTATTTTATTTGTCAATGTATAAACTTGTGTATGGTTCGGACTTCTTATGTGTAAATCATTTTGTCTTCAATAACATGTACATGTACTACTGTCAATATGTAAATGTCGCACACACATGATATATACCCCCCGCACGGTGAATGGATAAATAACACCTGCAAAACGATTTGTGTCATAATGATGCACTAAAAAGTGTATATCATGAAATATTGTATTAGTAACTCCATGTACATCCGTGTTCATGTATTTATTTATTTTTCTTTACAAAACGGTAAATATTATAAATACGAAGTCTGTTCTGATAATAATTTCGCTATCACGCTCTTGTCTCGTCTGCATCATTGCTGTTATTCGTCGATCCCAGAAGTATATAGGAATTTGGGCATCCCAGTAGAATTAAAGAAAGTTCTACATACTCTATTTTGTCGAAAAATTGAGGAGGGTACCAATTCTACATTTTGTTATAAATATGGGATGGTAACACTACATTTTGATGCAAAACAAAACAAAAATCAGACAAAGTTCTACATGACCATGAAAAGTAAGAATTTAGTTTTATGTGCTGTATGGCATGCTGAAACAAGGGTGTATTTTACTGCGGGTATATGTGACTATGTGTTACTCCCACATAGTAGAAGTATACGGATATTCACCGCGGTTTTGACCCCCAATTTTTCGGCCCGATAGCCAATCTGCGTCATGTTTGGACCCCTCCCATAATTGTCAGTCATTTTAGAAACAAAATAAGCATTTTCTTGGCGAAGACGTCAATTTTTTAGCAAAAAAAAAAAATGTCCTCGGTGTCGATTTTTTTTGGGTCCAAATAAAAAAAGATGCAATAGTTCACACTGAACTGGTTCAGTTGTTAATATCTACATAGACGTAATCTAGACGCTTGCTGCATACTACGAACATAATGGGCAAATTGCAATCATGATGCAAGGGATGTTGTTATTTGTCTGGTGAACATGCATGTGATTCTCATCTGTAATGAGTTTGTTAAATTTACGGAGATGTCAGTGGTTCGGAAACTCGTAATCAGTTACTGTGGAAATCAGCAAACGTAAACACAAATAATGTTTGAGCATTTTTAAATTGAAGCAACACAACAGCATTCGACCTTTGTGTAAATAAACAATGTATTGTTACATTGTTGTATACCCCCGCCTTGAACTCTAATCGGACACAATACGATGCGATGAAAGTGACGCTTTAATTATGGAGATTTGGTCCGGAGTTCGGAAAAGTCATTATCGCCCACGAAGTCTCTGATTATTGTCTTGCAAAGTAACTTTGACAAATTCACACATGATGAAAGACCACCATTAAGCTTTTATTTTCAAGTTGACACGACTTGAAACTTGTCTACAACTTGTCAACGACAATATATTCCTCTATAGCACTGATAAGACCAAACGAAACAATGCGAATGACATGATACCTAACTTTAAAAACTCACATCGATCCAAATATTATTAAAAAAATACAGATATTTTTTTATCTACCCCTCCTATAAAATGGACTGTCCCCAATGACAACAGGCTTTGATGCTTCCTATTACCATAGAGCTCCAGATGTTTTACCTCCATGCTAGTATTTACAAAAAAGGAATGCTTCGTTTGAAAATGGTTTTCATTTAATATACATAATGGGATAATGTATTGTATACGACTATATTCATTAGCCATCACAGTACGGAACTATGATTGATTATATCAAAATATAAGAGTTTGATTCTGACCAAATATTAATCATTCACTAAAAATGATCAAATTAATGTGTTCTTGAATGAAAACATGTTTGATTTATACGCGTATAACAAATAGTTCGGCGCGTCCGCACGATGCGACAAGTTTCAGAATTCATCCCTCCGATAGACCCTCTCACTGACTATGATCCCTCCAATTAAAATGGTTAAGCTCTACCTGTTTCAAGAGAATATTTTTCTCACGAATTGCGAAAAGGATTATCTTCTCTTATCAAATCAAATGAGAAAAATTGTGCCGACCAGCACAATTGTAAAATGGAATTTTGCTGACTGCAATTTTTTTTCATAAAATTATGATCGCCATTTAGCTGTCCTTCCCATATTAAAACACATGATTGACGAACGAGGGCGTTATACTACCGACGTCCTTAGCGTCGAATATTTGCATACCAGTTACAAATTTTGGTGCCGTGTGCATACCACGTGTAAAAGATTGGGAAAATTGTTGCATTTCTCTCGAAATCTTCATTTCGACTCTTATTTGATTGGGAAATCTCCAGCAAAGGTAAGAAATTGTCATATATTTTATTAACTAAGGAGTTTGTGGTGCCACTGGACCATTTTAAGTTTACTACGGTGATTGTAAGGAACTGGAAAGTGTTTTAATTTGCATGCTCTTCGTTTTCATCATGTTGGGTGTCTGGAAAATAGCGAAATGCGCATTTGATTTTTTGTGAAAATTTTGAATTGGTTGTCAACGAACTACACAGCCCGTTCCATCTTCATAGCATATTCACAGCAAAGTGATTTTTCAGTTTATAAAATTGCAAACACCAAACATTGTTTTAAATTGCCCAGTTCTGACAAGTTAAAACTATAACATGGATATTCTTTATGCGTTGATTTTCATATCCCGCCTTTTTTTCGTGATCGATTCGCCATGTTTTCAACATTTTATACTTTCAGGGTTTCATACTAACCCCCAAAACACCGATGTTCAATAATTCATGAAATTCTTATTCAAAGTCGAAAAAATGCTCCTGATCAGTTTTCACGCAAACCATGCGTCAATTGAGCTTATTGTCAACTGTGTTTTAGCTCACATGGCGGTCATTCGTGCACTAGTCGACAAGACCAAAGCGGTGAACAAATGGATAGAAAAATATGCCAGTCTAAAAACATTTCCAACAATTTACGTTTATGTAGTTCTCCACGTGATCGCCATGAAATACTCCATAGTTTCATATTAGCCCCCCCCCCCACACTAATCAATTCACAAAATCTTATTAGGTCGTAGTCGGCTTCTAATCCAAAACACGTGTGGCCTGACATGCAGGCGTGAGTCGCGCCCTCGCCGGTCGAACAGCATCAGACCCCCATAATGCCTGACAGAATAGTATGTTTTGTCAGCAAGATCAGTACTACAAATTTCAACAAGATGATTGGGCAGAAATTGCCAGCACCTTATCACACATATCAATAATGTCCGCGAATGGTTACTATTTTATAGCTATGACTATGACATTCCTGCAATTTGATTAGTACAGACAAAAAAGTGAAGTGAAAATGTACATCATTCTCTCAGGTACTCGACCTGGTCAGGCTAAAACATGTGTTAATTTGTTGGCGTCCTACTTATTGTCAAACAATTTCAGCTTGCTTTGCGGCCATTTGTGCATGCCTTGACATGACTGAAGCAGCACTAAGTGTTCCAGTCGAAAACACCCCATCCAATCTGTGAAGTAGAGTAGAGAGCAATTTTTGTTCCCCCCTCAAATTGCAGGTGATTCACTCTTTAGCACATTTTACACTTTAGTGATACTTTTTATTATTTTATTGCTCTGTGGGGAAAAAACAAATTTGTTCACCTGCCAGTAACGTTTAAAATGAGTTTGTTTCCACCTGTCCTGTTTCTAATTTGGATATTGTAGAATACTGCATTTTCGCTTAGAATTTATTTTCGCTGAAGGGATGGTTCCGTGAAAATGAAATCCAGCAAATACACTTTTTCCCTTTATTTCACATTAAACTCGTCAAAAATCAGTGAAAATAAATTCTAAGCAAAACGCCCAAAAGCCTTTTCAGCAAAAATTAATTCCAGTGAAAATAAAGTATTCCACAGTATAATAAATGCTTATTCAGTTAAGTTTTCATTTACATGTTTAACTAAACCAGTATGTCTATGGTCAGTTAATTAAAACTTGAGAACCAAAACTGAATTAATGATTAACTGATTATTAAAACTCGAACTAAATTCAAGTTTTTCATGGAGCGGTTTAAAATTCAAATATTTTTTTTTCAAATACTGGAGTTTTAGTAAATTTTAGTCCATAGTGAAGTAATTAAATTCATGACTAGAAATAAGGTGCAACATATTGTGGTAAAATCAGATTAAGCTTCTGTTTAAATTGACTTTTCAACAATCTCCCTGGTAATGGCAGTGTTTTCACCTGTTTCATCCATTAAAGTCATAACTATGCTAATTACTGTGAACTGAATTGAATTGATTTTGCCAGTGAGGATAACTTTAAAAATGTAGCAGGGACAATTGCACTGGTAGAAGTGACTTAAAATTTAGTTGACGCCTTCAAAGAGCTCATAATTTCTGGCTGCCAAAAAAAATAAGCAGAAACAAAATACTGTAAAGGGGTTAATTATTCACTGGGTTTTAATTTAGCTTATTTCGCTGACTGAAAAATGCGCTAAATTAAAACACAGTGAATATGTAAAATTTAGCATAGAACACATTATCTAAATGACGAAATCGTGAATTTAAAACCCACTGAATATGCCTGAAATGGTAAATCAGTGAAATTTAAACCCAGTGAAAATTAGTCATTTTACAGTATAGTAGTTTGACCATGGAACTACATAATTTGACTCATTGGACTACAGCAGTCATTGTGCCTTATTCAAATGAAAGTACTTCAATGTTTACCAAAACTTGTTCACAAAGTTTAAACAAATAAAACCTAAGGTTATTTGTTAAACATGAAATTACATATAAACTATTGATCAATGTAGGTCGAATCATGTTATAACTACCATGCTTAATGCATGTGGGAATGCTGGCACGGACTTGCAATTTGCAACTTGCCTAAGGGATTAAAATTATTTTATGCTTAAATTGTAAGTACGTGCATCTTTTCAGGCGGAGACAGGAGGAGGAGAGATGAGTGATGGTAGGAGAGATATAGAGTGTTATAATTGTGGACGTCAGGGCCATATTTCGCGTGACTGCAGATCTGGCGGCGGCGGCGGAGGTGGTGGTAGTAGAGGACGAGGTGGTGGACGCGGTGGTGGAAGAGGTGAGAGTTGCCCGGTGCAGTTGACTTGTACATTGTAAATAGTGATTAAAGGGCCACTAGCTGCAACTTAATAAATGAATTAAACCACTAAGTAAACTTTGATCAACAGGAAATACACTGCCAAATTACCAGGCCATAGTGTTTTTCACTAAGACTAACAAGTGTTGCATTTCTAGTTTTGCATTCAGTTTTCCAACACATTCCTGTCGGTTGAAGAACTACAAATGAAAAAAATCATTTTAAAAATTACTGTGTTAAAAGAAAACAAAATCAATCTTTTAGTTTCTAATAATGTTGAAATAACATGCTCATGCATAGATTTTGTTGTATTGCATGATTGGTATTGAAACACTGCACGAGTCAGTCATGTGCCCCCCCCCCCCCTGTTAATAATGAAAAAAATCAAAATGATGGAGTTTGTTTAGATATCTAATTCATTGGACCAGTCAAACACTGCCTCAAACTTAGTTCTTGTTTATCACCTGTTAATCATCCAAGTCTCTTGGATATGGTGACATTTCATACGAAAAGTGGAAACAAGTTGGGACTTACAACCAGTAATACATCTTCATTAGTGTTGCATGAATGAAAGGATATTGACCATTACCAATAATGTGTATGTTGCCCAACCATTCAATGTTACACAAGGTGTATCGCAGATGTCTTTACCGTAGTGTCAGTTTTCTAGCATAAACTGCACTGTGATTTCACATAGTAAATGTTAGTACCTTATTGCATGTTAACATGCAGCAATACCATTTCAAATCATTTCCTCAGTTGCGGACAATGGCCCTTTAAGTCGTGCCAAATGCATTTCTTGGTCATTTGCATTATTTCCACTGAGAAGCTGGGATTGAATTATTTCCCCATCATGCAATTTGCAATCAATCTAACAAAAATAAAAGGAAAAAATCATAACAGAGTTTAAAATCTCATTTAGTCACAAGTCAATATTGCTGTAAACTATGAGCATTCAGGGATAGATCTGCAAATGACTAATGCACCAATGCATTTAGGATACATGTTCTTTTTCATAAATGCACTACTTGAGGTCTTGAAGAAAAGATTCGTTTCTGGGCTTTTAATTTTCAAGCAAAATGTGAGTGCTATATACCCAAGTAAGCATCTAAATAAAAAAAAAAATTTGTTGTATGCTTTACCATTGAAGTTGGTATTACTTGATCGCAGACTTGCCTGTCATTTACAGAAACTTGTGTACTTCTAATGGATCAAAACGGTAGTCATTTTGGAAAACTGGAAAGTCCTTGACAGCCATTTTTGAGCTTGCATGCTTGACCAAAACAAAATCATTTTTTGTTTGACTGTGCTGTTAACTATGCCACTATCATAGTGTGTAGTGTAGGAGTGAAAGATGTGTTGAACAGTTTGTGTTAGTGTTCATGTTGGTCACAAGTAGTCACATTAGATGTGTGCACATTTCACAACATCACGGCATTGCACACATTGAAATAGTTTAGCTAATTCTGCTGTCCCAACGAAAGAAGTTGATGCACAACGAATACTGAATGAATTTGAGTATTTTTTTCACTGTTTAGAAATGAACCCTTCCACCTCTGCCTGATAATATAGTCTGGTATTGTTATTTCTGAGGGCATGTCTTGCCCGGTGATGACTGCCTATGCTGTGTATCATGCAGTGTGACATTTGGGCATTTTGGCTTTGTTGTTTAGGTGGCGGTGGACGGGGCCGGGGTCGTCCAGGTAAGGTTTGCAGTTTTGTTTGCTTTTTTCTCCCCTCCCAGCAAGTTTCCTTTTTACAATGTTTTTTTTCGAGTTTCGGCTTGTGTGCAGTGTTGTCCTTAGAATATTAATATATACTCCACATTACATGTATTTTCATTGTCGTTCAGTTTAAATCACTAACCATCATGGCATGATACTTTGTCCTTTGTCTTGTTTCTTGCTATATTTTGTTAGGAAAATTTGAATTGCCTGTGAATGTGTGTTCGTAGTAAGAATGTAGTTGACCTATGTTTTCATCACAACAGTACTAAAATTGTAGTCTGGCTTACATCAGAAACATGTGCAAGTATAAGCAGTGGACACATTTTGTGCTGCAGTTTTCTGCAATGCATAGGCAATTTGGCTTGCACGTCTTCATTATATAACATGTAAATCTCACATGCGATTAGTTTCCTTTCTGCCTAATCTCGTGTGGAAACAACTCTGATCCTTGCCATGATTGTTAAAATTACTGAACTGTATTTAATAACTACTGTGGAACTGGAAATTTGTTCTCGTACGTATTTTTACAAAGCAATCTTTCCAAGTCATTTGTCAGACAAATAGAGTTGTGTTAAGACTCCACTGTAAAAACGGTACAATGAGACTATATTGCAAGCAAAATGTGTTAAGAGATTGTGGGTCACTTTTTTATCAAGATCTGTCATGGTTCTATTTTGAAATTTTTTTTTTTAACTGAAATGCCAATAATTTCCAGTTTTACAGTAAAATGTGTGTACTTGTACATCCAAATTATCAGCTTCATCAAAACCATTCTCCTTATTGACAGTGATTACCTTTAATGGTAGGTTTAGACATATTGGATGAAGCATTAATTGATTTTTATTTATATTTGCTGTGCACTGTAGTCAGATGCCTGTCTGGAAAAGTAGCTGCAATTTTAACATGTCGCATGGCAGTAGTAAAATGTATATAACTAGCAACTACGCTGAGTAATACAGACTAGTTTCACAGTACAGCGGACTTAAACCGGTTTCTTGTATTTTATCAGATGGTTGTTACAACTGTGGTAAAAGTGGCCATTTAGCTCGTGACTGTCAGGAGCCACGTCAAGACGGTGGTGGCGGTGGAGGAAGAACCTGCTACACCTGTGGAGAAACTGGCCACTTCTCCCGAGAATGTCCCCAAGGTGGCGGCGGCGGTGGCGGAGGTGGTAGAAGTGGAGGTGACGATCGTACCTGCTACAAGTGTGGAAAACCTGGCCATATAGCCAGAGATTGCTCTGAAAGTGGTGGCAACACTTGGGGTGGAAGAGATGGTGGTAGCCAAGGCAATTGCTACAGGTACTTTCTGAATTTTATTGCACACATGTTCGCTACTCTCCTAATATGTGCATATTGAAGTGAAACTATATTCTGCTCCTCGATGAGTGGTTAATTTTTAGCTCCGCTGTCGACTTTGTCGAGCGGAGCTTATCATATGAGTGATTGTCAGTCGTCGTCGTCCGTGTCAATGTTTTACTTTTTCGACTTCTTCTTGAAAACTACAAGCCTGAATGCTTTGATACTTGATGTATATGCAGGGCTCGAAATTAGCGGTAGCCCCGCGTCTACAGACTACCAGTTTCTTTCTTGGGGCTACCACTTTTCAAATTCGGTAGCCCAACTGGGCTACCAAAAATCCGGGATCGTTATGACGTACTCGTGATACGATAAAGCTAACACGCAAATTACAAGTTTGCGACCACACGCGACTAGGACAAGTTTGCAACAAGTTAAGATTCACTGACTACGCTTATACTATTTATCTCTTCGAGTTGAAATATAATTATTTATTGACAGGTACTTGGGGAAACAGCCAATCAAATTGTCCCACGGTTCTAGCTGCTTCTGTTATTTTTGAATAAAAGTGTGTTGTTTTCTTTTAATGACGACTTGTCCGCGTCATTTTTGTACACAAATTATACAAAAAAT